GTTGATGAATTTAAATAAAAGTAAAACGTTTCATCAATTTTCTTCGATCACGCGAATAACAGATCTATTTTCCATTTTTCTTTTTTTTTATTGTCATTCTTTTACAGTAGGTACTCTAAAAGAAGTGAACAAATTTGACAACGAGTTCAGGCTTTCATCTCGCAATCGGTGGAAAGGCAAAAACGAATTCAATAAATCGTATCGTAAATACGGGAATTATGTACGAATTGATACAGTTTGCACGCGTTCAAGGTACCTGCAGGCTGTTCACTAAATAACAACGCTGTTCTTGGTGGGAACATGCCAGCCCACGTGTGTATCACACACACGGGGACCACTTAGTAAGTCCTTAATCCTTATCTATGCGTATCGCCCATATGCAATGCAAAGTGGACACGCATATTGACCAGTCGAGAAGGAATCAGTCGACTTATCCGACGAGATAAAGTCTCTCAGGACGCGTTCGAAAAAGCACGTGCTGCGACACGTTCGTTCCTTTGTGCTTCATACTTTTCTTTCATTCGAACACTGTCCGACGTGTCCCGTTTAATTTCCTCGCGATCTAACCGCGATGGGTGCCCGCGTGGGTGCTCGCGGTCATCGTGTGCGATCTTCGCTTTACGAGTAAGTAAACTGGACTTATTGGCTGTTAATAATCTGTGATAACAATTTTCGAAATAAGAATTTAGCTAAGCGAATCCGACGTATAAATTAGAGGAAAAAAATTTTTCCGATCTTTATCGCTGTTCGAAATTTTATACCCACCCAGTGTACAATCGACTAGAACGCGTCAATAAGGAATTTCCAATTAACAGCGCCTGCTCGAACTCGCAATTAGTCCGAGAATGCAAATATCCACGAGTACGCCGCACGCAGGTGCAAATGACCACTCGAAGGACACCATAAGTACCACAACATTCATAGCGTTTAAATTTATTTAATTTATCATCAACAAGTCGAACACGTGGATCGTGAACATCGGGATACGGGTGCAGAAAAAATATATTTTATTGTATCGTAGCAGGATCCTCGACTCCTGGATCGTCCTTTAGTTGGCTCGTAGCCAAGCATCCGCCATCAGCAGGTTAATTTCATTCGTATTCAATGCTAATGGAAGGTGAATTGCTCGTGATCTTTCGTATATCGTCAACCTACGCGATTAGTACGTTTGTATCGATCAACACTCGAGAGGAAACAGAATATTTCCTGTTTTTTCCCTCGATTCAACTTCGGATGTGTTCTACTGCTCGACAGTTTGGTTATTGATGCGGTGACAGACGCACGGGTCGTTGGAGAATGAGAGAAACTTGTCGAACGTCCACCTTACGATCTTCGACAAATTTCGAGCAGGAACGGTCGAGTTATTACGGGTCAGAACGGTTTGTAGGGGTACCGGAGGGACCGAAGATTCTCCGTGTCCGGCGCTAATTAAAAGGAACCAACGAGCCAGCTTGAAAGGTGAGATAAGATCGGCGTTGACGCGACGGAAAAGAAAGCTCGTCGGTTTCGCTCGCTTTCTCAACGGTGCGGCGCGCGACAGGTGAGATATTTTGCACCGGCCCTTGGTTCCGGTCTCGATCTTAGGGTTGTCATCGTCGTTTCGAGGTCTATTAGTCACGGTTAAAGAGGATCGCGATTTTATGGGCAGAGGAAAGAGAGATTCTATAGTGAGATACGATTAATTTCACAAATCTAATTGTAAAATATTGATCATTTGATTTATTGAGATAACAAAACTGTGCTTTGACTTTTCTTGAAAGTATTTTTTAACGAACAGCATTTACTTTTACACCAATCTTACAGTAACTTAAAAAGGAATATTTGAAAATGTTAGAAAAAAATAAACAACAGAAAGTTAGTATTAGGCGAAATTGATGTTCCATGAAGGAACGGGAGAGCGCAACTGGTCCCAGCGAAGGGAAGAAGCGGTTTCGCATAAATTTGCGATATTATCTGGGCGTAAAGATATCCTTCATTCCATGGAACTCGGAGCACGGATTCCCACGCACGGACTGCTCGTCCAATTTCGAAATTTCGGGGTCGACCGGGTTAAATGTTAACACGGGAATTATGCTAATTTTCGGCAGCGACCGAGCATCTGGACATTCGTCATCTACCACGGCTCGCGGGTTTTCTGCTCGCTTTTTGCGGCGCACGATTATGCGAATATACGAGAGATGGTCCACGGTTGAACAGGCGCATGTATTTGAAAGGCTAATTCTACTTTTTTTCATTTTTCTTCTTTATTATCGTTATTTGTGGACGGGAATCCATATGATGTCATTCGATTTTTCTTACCACATTGTTATCATATTATTCTTTCCATTAAACACGCGATTACGCACGCGAACGTGTTAAAAAAGTTGAAGTTATTAAGGATCCGCCCACGAGTACTTTAAATCCTCTAATCGCCGACAGAAAGGGAATCGGAGTGGTGTTCGTACGATGGAATAGAGAGCTCCACAAAAGACTAACAATCCTCCCACATCCTTGGTTGTGGTTGAGGATACGTACGAATTGTTGCGAGCGTTCACCAGAAATTCATAACTTAGCATCAACTGTACGAAAGAGAATTAATCGGCAAAAATACGAGACGAGCTTTGTCACACCGGACCCCGTAGCTGAAATATAATTCCGTGGATTAGTACGGGAACGGGTTTGGAAATTTACGTCGAAAATCGCGTGTACAATAATGTCGACCACGCCTTCGAACTCGTTGAACCGTCTTGTAAATTATGATATTTTATAGGACCCTTCTCTAGGGTGTCTCCGCGGGTCATTCTTACGCTGCTATTAATTAGAAGGGTTAATCATAAACGAATGTATCTACAATGTCGATATAGGAAGTGTTAAGCTGTGTTTTGAAATGAGCCTGTGAATTATAGACAGTTTAGTAGATTTGTAAATTTTTTTCTACACCGACGATGGGAGTTAATGTAGGAGGCCGTAATTTACTAGTTTCGAATAATGGGTCCTTGGGAGCGATTAGCGTCGATATTAAGTTTTATGCAGCAAGAAATCTACGTATTCATTGAAAAAATTATAGTCCCTGATTTTTAATCCTAACATACGGTTTACAATTTTTCTTCTTCCCACTCGTTTAATCAATTTACAAAATGAAATAGGTGGAAAGCTTTAAAACGAGGGGAGAATTTATGTTTGGACGGATAGTGATTTATCGATCTGTTTAAAATGCAAGTAAATCGTGTAACTTCTGCTTGGTTCAGCCGATCAAAGCAATATATAAATAGAAGACCAGAAGGAAACGCAGAGCGAATTCATTTGGATGGTTTGAAAAGGGTTTCGTGGTACGTTAAAAGTGATTCATGAGGATTATGCGAAATTAGACACGGATTTCACGCGAATACATTTCTTTCTTAAAGCGAGAAGAGATAAGTAAAACATGCTGAATGCTGTGTAAAGAACGTTTAAAATAATCCACAATATATTTAGTAGCAGTTCATTTAAACATTTCGAGTATTCGAATTATTGAAATAGATCAACTATTAGAAATTGGAATTCGAATTTCATAGTATTCAAATGAAATAAAAAATAAATACAAAAAGAGAGCTAAAGAGGAAAGTAAAGATAGTGATACAAGTTCAACAAGTGCTCTCTTGTTGCATGGGCGTTTCGATGACTATAAGTGGGGGTGGATGGATGGGTGGGTGGTATCGAGGGGTTAAGGGGAGGCAGCTATTCAATTTATGCCTCGACAATGCGGCTTTGTCTTGCCAAATTATCATACATGAACCTACATGCATAATCCGTGCAGCGGCTCATTATCATATCATAGATGCGCATTAAAGTACCGGTTCCCTAGCCCTTCCTCTTCGTAATAACGCGAGAGGCGCCTGTATTTATATCGTCAATAAAAGAACTTTGTCTTCACTCTACCATTTTGTCGGCTAACCCATTCGCTAGGCTCAGCAAAAGGGTTAAAGTGATCTATCACCATAGAAGCGAACAAATTGCGAATTTATAGCATGTTATCTTTCAAGCTTCTCAAAAATATTTTATTTTCCTTATTTTCCCCCTTTTCTCTTACACGTAACTTAGGATTTATCTACGTTTTGTAGCCATACTTTCATATGTCATAAATGCATAAATATCCGTAGTTATGACTAAAACTTGTCAAGATTATCATTATCATTAATCAATCAATCAGTTAATCTTTCCATCATTGCATAATCACATGACAAAGCTTCTACAATTTGTAAACTATACAAATGACGATAGTTGCCTTTCAACCCTGAAGATTGCCAAATCTCTTGTTAACTAGTTTCCATCACGGTTTTTAATTACGCACAGGAGGTATAGGAGATCGTTTATCATCCAAAGCGTTGCCACATAGGAACGCAGAAGCATAATGTTAACAAGTTGCACTTTAATGTTTCATTACTACGTGGCTCACATGCGATCAGGCGTCCCCTTCACAACGCATTAACTTCTTTCTCGTCGTCGCGTAAACGAAACGTTCAGGACAGGCTGACCAAGTAAATTTCTATTAAAGTACAACCCTGGGTCAAGATAATTACGAGAGTCGACGGTGTGCAAACAAGATAAGTTACAAGCCCGCCGGTCGATCCTAATCGATCAATCATACATACCTGATCGTGAAATGTCGTCGAAACTATGCAGTCTTTCTTAAACTCGTGGTACCAGAATATTCCAGGGTTATTGTCCAACTGTCAAAGTTAGGTTTATATATTCATAAGTACATATTTGCTACTTTATACGCATCAATATGGGTAATTTGCAATACTAACGTATTAAGAACACTTAATTTTTTTATATCCGTGAACCTTTCGATTAACGATAAGTATGCAGCAACATTATAATTTTTCACTGCTATTATCGTTACCGTAAGTGATAGTTAGAAATCAATTACAGTTTAATTTCAATTTTCTAACATTCCACGGTTACCCTTAATTACGGTTAGTATCATTAACCTGGAAAATTCTTGGTAACTGTAAACATGGAGTTTATGAAGGTGTGAAAACTATCCTTTTGCGAAATCTCATATGGAAAAGAAAAAGAGTTGACCATTACTTCATGACAGGAAATGTAAAAAGGTATACATCTTAAGCCACAGGCCGCGAGTTAATTGCACAATGTAATTACTGCACGTGAAGAGGACTCTTCCCGTCTTTGCACGATCGTTTATTTCAGGCCATCATTTTTCTTCTGTCAGCGGGTATTTGCAACTTCTGCACTTGTCCTAATCTCGCTTAATTGCTAATTAAAAATTAGGATCTCATTTAACATCGAATCATTAGATTCGTATTCTTCCCTTCGTTTCAAACATTAATGTCAAATATGACAGTCGTGAAAGTGTTAATTGCAGAAGGTAATCACGGTTCGGTTTAAGCGAATCAAAATCGAGACGTCTCGATATCGTGCCTTGATTTGCATATTTCCGTGTGGATCGCGTGCACTGTCGCGTCGCGTCGTGTCGCGTCGACAAAGAAGAAGATTTCTCAATCGAAGCAAGGCGTATCGCGTGAAGACGACAAGAGTCTTGAAAATCCGATGCATTGACAGGATAATTACACGCACGTAGGCTGCTGTCCGACCGTCCGCGTCCTTTACGTTTGTTCGTTCCTTCGCTCGTTATATAGGGAACAGAGAAAGAGAAAGAGAAAGAATGAGAGATAGGTACTCTTGGTAGCTCAGCAGCTACTGGTGGATCAACCAGTGGCCACCCACGATGTTGATCGTCGAAGATCGCTGGATCCTCGCGCCGACCGCGACGTTCGCCAGTATTTTCATTTGCATAATGGAAATTACGCGCCACGCCACGAGGTTGAACGTTTCCACGGAACGCGTTAATTTACGAACATTACGCGGCAATCTGATGAGTTTATCTTCGCCGCGTCGTTCTCGGGATCGAAGTAAATGATCAACGGATAAACAGTAAGTGGTTTAATAAAACATTTTTTCTTACCTGCGAATATTTTAATAATAAAGTGAAGTTAACTAACGTCGGGTAGAAATTTTGTAAGAATATTTCATAGAATCTAGAAATTCCTACTGCTCATTTCTTCGTTCAAAGATCATTATTTCTCGCATGGTTTGTTACCAAAGTTAATTTCAATATGCAATTTCTGCAGACATTGTCGAGGCGCGTCATTTGGTAGACATCGACGGATTAGCTGACGCTTTATTACCTATTGCATTCACCGATTGCTTTTTACGAAACAAATCGCAATGAATCAACGTTACGCTCGTGGCGCGAGTCTGTTCCCGCTAATAACTTAGCTTTATCATCGGAGGTGGGTGCACGGTTATAATGCGAGTAGGGAAAAGAATTTAATACGAATTTATCGCGACTAATCTGACTATTAACTCGGAACATTACGAGACGCAAGTGGCCACTCGGATGGGAACCGTGTCGTTCGCGTGAAGCGAATGTTGGCAAATGTTGTAGCCAAGAAAAGGGAAACGAGCGAAACCGTGGATTAACGCTCTCTACAGTATCTAATATATCTACTTTTCATAATACCATTCGCGTATTATTTGAAAAATTTTTGCTGCTTCAACGAGAACAAATCAATATTGTTCAATAAGTTTTCTTATAATTAATGTTTCAAGCACAACGCGTTGTCTTGGTCGACGCAACGCGCGCGTTAAAGTCAGATTTATTTCCGCGAGTTCTACGAACGAGCATGGATCGTGGGTCACGGAAGTCCAGTTGCTCGGTCCAGCTTCGATAATATCGATTATTTATTAAGATTGGTCCGATGACGAATGCTCGAACAGCATTACCTGTGGGACAGCGAATAAAGCACGGTAGCACGGTCACTGTTCAAGGAAGCAAAGACGCGATTTTAACGAACCGCTTAAATCAATACTGTCTTTAGCGACCAATCGTTGGGGAGACATTCCGCTCGGCTGAATTATGCCGATTCGAATTACTCGCAGATCCTTGCCTGTCTTTTACTATCCTTGGAGAATACGTGGGCGAGCAAAAGATCCACTGGAGAAAGTGAAAGCATCAAGGTATATTCAACCAGGAAAAGGAACTTTATCGTGTTTTTATGTTAATTAATGATGACTTGAAAAAATAGAAAAATTATCACGAAAAACCGAGATGACCGCAAACGATTTCTAAACGATGATACATTGGATTCATCATCAATTCACAGAAACAAAGACCTTACAAAATGCATAGGTGTTTTCTCCCAGTTCCCATCGACTATGATGACTGAACGTCGGCCTAAATTCTCGAAAGACTACCGATCGGAGAATTAAAAAGAAAAAACCGAGATTACTCATGATCGTCGAGTGACCAACACTGAAACACGTGTAACCAATTCGAACCCGATGGTGTTCGTGTACAGGTTGGTGCGAAGCGTGAGAAGAAGAACACGGAACTATTCAAGGAACGACATAAATTCGACCAGGATCCTCGGTTCGGTTCGATCTGGCCCATCCACGCGGTAGGCCGAACCCACGAATGGTCGTGTACCTTAGGATCGCGGACATCGACCACTCCACGCCCTATAAATACGCATAAATATTCCCATAAATCCCGTGTAACGTCGCATTACACGCGTTCGAAAACCTTAACATTGCGACCTGGGCCCATGGTGAATCGAAGGAAAAGAAAAGAGCAAGAAGGGGGATAGCAACGAGGATTCAGCAAGCTGCACAGAGTCTGTATATCATATAAGGAATAAATTACGCTTAACGTACGCACTCGGTGACTTTAACTTCAGATTTATACACTCACGGCATTCTCTGTATTTCGATGTAATCGAACATTTAGCCGTTTAGTGTTGCAATTCATGGCTCTCATTGATCGCCGTTCGATTGACGATCTTACGTTGGATCAGGAAAAAATTACGAATCTTCGGTTATTCTTCGATAAAAGTTAATATAATTTAACATCGAAATTTCTGACATATTATAAATTCCAATTTTCTGAATATCTTAGTCTGGTATACATACAGCCATGATTCTTTCATTTTGCATGTCAGGTTACTTCAGTAGAGATTAGGACGGTTAAAAATGCACAGTATGCAGCAAGATTTCGGGTTGATGCACGGAATGCAATGTCAGGATGCATCGTGGGTTTCGTTTCTTGTCAGACATCTCGTTGCTCGTGAAACTGCATCAGTTACGAAACATCATCTTCTTACGTGCAGTTTTGAAAAAGAGCCTCTATATGCTGTTTCATAGAGCGCAGCCATTTCAAGGATGATGTTGACGACGTAGAAATTTGTTTCAGTGAAAGGAAAATGTTCGTACAAAGAAATTTGCGATAGGAAGATTGTAGTGTAGAATTAATTAACGTGGAATTTAGCACTATTCCTTCGGTTATTAATTCGCAAAGCATTTCATGAGAACGAGACTCAGAAGGACAGTTGTTTGACCGTTCTGTAGAAATGACTCATGTGAATAACTCGGAGCATCCTGATTGCGATCAGCTCGTTAAAGTAGCAGATACGGAGAGTCCGAAAATACGATTCACCGCAGACGTGTATACCAAGAAAATGTGCGTAACAACCATCGCATAGCATCGCAGTTTAATGAATTATAATATACATAAGTAGCATTTTAAAACATTAAAACTCTGATTATGAACACGGATAATTAATTTTATCATCAACTCTATTAACGAACCTTTAATTGAAAAATCGTGAAGCTTCTTAAAAATGCACAACTCGAAAGTAACACCTTGTCGTAGAAGTTTCAACTTCTTTCGATTCGTTGTATAAATAATGTTATCAGTCCCGTAAATCATTGGTCATTCCTCGCAGCACGTGACGCGCGTTTCACACCTCTGTCAGCTGTGTCATTAAGCATAATTAAACGCTATCGTTTCGAGACGACGGAAAATGAAATGGTTACTCGAGGACAAGATCTTTCGTAAGAGCAGAAAGGATTCTCGAGTAGGCGAACTTGGAGCATTTTTTACGAGTCTATCAAGACCGACTCGCCGGACAGATAGTACAGGTGTCGCTAATTACACCGATAACACCATCCAACCTGTCCCTATCAGTTACCGTCGTCAGCGAAATTAAGTGCTTCGGATTTTTTTCATTAGTCGCGATAGATTTCGCATGGTCCAGACAGCTTCCCTATTCATTTCAGATAACTTTTGAAGAACAGGTTGAGTAAACGTTGATACAGGTGTCGACGTTTTAACACGACGCGATAGCGATGCTTTAATTTCTGTGTAATGAAAAGGTGATTTAAATTTGTCTCTTGATTTCTAGTTAGTTTCATTGGAACAGGTTGTCTGAAAATATTAAGCGAGGGTTGGATAAGTTGAACGATAACGTTCTTTTTGTTAAGAAGAGAATCATTCAGATTTACCGGAATATCGAGAAGAAATTTTCGGTTGTCTAGTAATCGAAATACGCTCGTTTATTATCGAACCAGGAGGAGATATGTGCACATCGAACCACAAATTAACATGATTTTATGGGTGATGGGGAAATAGAAGCGTTCTTCGTAGAACGAAGAGCTCGTTAACCCAGGTATCTTCAGGATCTGATCTCCGGCCAGGTAATACTGAAAATATCTCTGTAGAGAGGTCGTGACAAGTGGAGAGGTGGCGAAAATTTCAACCCTGGCGCCTGAAGATTTATTGAACGGCTTCTCCCATTTACGTTTTTCTCAGTATGTGTGTTTTCAACACACGACCACCTGACAAAGGGATACGATACGGTGGTTCTGAAAAGAACGGTGAAAAACAAAAAGATGTAGGTGTAAATATAGATTTTATTTTTAAAATATCTTTTCTGATTCGACTTATGACGTTCAAAATTAAGGACTATGATTACGATGGATTAATTAGATTTCACGGTTAATCAGAGTAATCGTTCGAGCACGCAACAGAGTCCATCGAAATGGACGATGATAATTATAATGAGAGCGAAGATTACAGTGATTATGTAGACGCAGGAGCATTCTTCGATGAAAATGGTAATTAGGATAAGCAGCTCGCTCTTTACTCGACAAAGTCGTTTGAATACATTAAAAGGACTTTTGTCACCTGCTATCTGTCATTCTCGACACGTTTTTAGCTTGTAAGAAAAGAAAATACTTTCGCTGTGCTCGTTGCTTCTCGCCTTCTTTCACGAACTGCAGTAACTCGTCGTTTACTTAATCTTTGTTCTGAAGTCCTCGAAATAACTTAATTTTTTAAAAAGATATTTTTAATTCCAATAGAAGATGTAACTCTCAAGTCTCGTTATCTTCGTTTAATTTCAACCTAATTATCTCTTAACTTGAATTATTAGATTTCTTATGATTTTAAAGTGTTAAAATAAATCACACGAATGATGGATAATTCTTTTTCGAACAGCTTCATCCAATTAACGTCAGCAAACGTTAACTGTGCTCTATTTGAGGGAGAACAGATTCACGGTTCTTCGTGCAAGATCCCTTCAAGGTAAGCGACTCTTCGCATACAACGTTGTTTCTCAAACGCAGAAGTCCCCAGGAGCGAAACTCCGCCACTCGAAAGCGTATCGGTGCGATTAAACGCGAATCATCGCGTCGGATCGTAAGTTGTTAGGAGCGTGGACAAGAAGTTGTAGCAATTTACGCACGCGTATCTGGCAGTGATCGTCGTTCGAACGACTATCATGATCTATGTCTTTATTAACAGGCCATCGCGTACCAAGACACGTTAATAAGTAGAAATTGCTTCAAAATGGCATAAGTAATTCATAAAATCAAAACCTTCTTCTGAAAATTCTCTCATAAACAGCATCTTCTACAACAAAGTTCTCATTGCTTTAAGAACAATTATCATTCTCCAAATCGCGTCTGGTACTTCCAGCAACTCCCGCAATTAAGCCAACCTGTTCAAACTCCAAACCCTCTCCGCGATACGCTCGTCAAAAGTGAACAAAGAAATGAATGAAAACGACACCCTGGTACGATCTCACGGTCCTTCGTCGTCAAAAAGGAATTCACAAACTCTTTGAAAGCTATTCCCAAGCTCGATCTATCCTAAACTCGAGGACGAAAGCAGCTAAGCGTCGTTTCTTCAGCGTGTTTAATCAATTTGAATCAGGAACTCGACATCTTTCATGGTCGAACGAGCACCGTGAAGTTCTCTCGGAGCACTTAGAGATATTTTAATGCCGCTTTGTGCCCCCTGTCTCTTCCTCCACGTTTGTTTAAAGGGTTCCTTTATTCGACCGCGTTTCGTTGCGCCCTTTGTCTTCTTCTCCTTCTTCTCTTCCTTCTTCTTCTTCTTCTTCTTCTTCTCCTTCTTCTTCTTCACCCTCTCCAATTCTCGTTATGCTTCTTTCGGGCGACGTCCGCTTGACCACTGGTTATTTTAATTGGACCTTCGGATCCGAAAGGCTTTTTTCGTCCGTTCCACCTTCTTTCCGTGCGCATCGCGTGCTCGCGATCCTCCCTTTTTCCCCCCATTTGCTCCCGTCATGGATCCTTTTCTCCTACCTTCCAACTCCACGGATACCCCTTTCGATCCTGACTGTATCGGTTTTTGTGCGAGACGCGACGTTCTCCGCTTTCGGCGCAGCGCCGCGACGAGGACGCGCGGAATTCGATATATGTACTCGTGGAAGGACTTTCAAAGACCCGGCGAGATCGCTTTGTTCTTGTCCTAAAAGAACTGCAATCATTTGTAATCTGTTAGCTTTTAAGGGACATTCTATAAAAATGGTATTTAATATTGAATACCAATGTAACTCCAACTCCTTAACTTCTTTTGTAATTTCTTTATTCGATGCAAAAGATATTATGTACGCTTTATAACAGGAAGAATCTGTAGCCACTATTAAGCTTTTTTTCTGAAATATTTTCAGAGAATATTCGGCGTGGCATTTATCTTGAAAATATCAAAAAAATATCTTGGAGACGATCCAAGAAAATTAATCGTTTAATTAACGTCGTATTCCCGAAGATTTTTATCGCGAAAGTCTCTCGATTCGCGCCGCCTTCGTGAAGGATGACGCGAAAGTTTGCGGACAGGTTTACCGTTTCAAGAACAACCACACAACCGCAAGAAGGAACAGCACACTCTGTTTTTCACGTGTACGGACGGTTCGAATGGAAAACGAGAAATTAATCCAGAGTAACGTGAGAGAGGATATTACTCACCCATCACAGTTTCTCGCTCCTCTAATTAATATTTATGCGATCGACGCGAATGGGATTAATTAAGTTTCACACGAACACACCCGTCCTTACCTTTTTCCCCTGCTGCTAAGGCCAGTGCCTTTAATCGAGTTGCAAATTTATTGAACGTGTCGACGATTAAAAATCGCCCCGACGCTTGTAACACTTCCCTCGCGACAAATTTCAGAAACGTATAAAACCTCGTTTATTTTTCACCTCGATTAACACAAACAAGCGTATTATAATTGTAATAAATATGTTGCAGATTTTATTCAACTTTTTTCTGGTAATATGTGTGCACATGCACACGAAAGGATTCCAGTAACAGTGTATAAATTACGCAGGATTATAAATATCTTCGCGATGCATAACTAATTTTTTATCGATTTCTTTGTGTACAAGATCTTCTCGAATTTATTAATTAATTTGCTAATATAAATTGGTACAATTTGTTCTCTCATTAGTCTTCGATGGATTAAAGGTGATTATTTCGTAATAGGACTTTGCAAGATAAGAAAATATTTTTTATGAAACTTTTTTGGTAAAAATTTATTTCGAAAGGGTGAAATTATCTCTTAAAATTGGTTGTTTCATGAGATTTTAATTTATTATGAAGATATCATTAGTCGCAATACTGTTCGTTTTAATTGGTTCGATATCGTTTCTCTGGCAAATCGAACGGCACGGCATGACGCGTCGCGTCGCGGCGTTCCCCAATCAGCGCCTACCATAGGCGATGAAGACACGAACTCTACTACCGAACCAAACTCACTGAATGGTATTACTACTCTTCGCGGCAGGAGGGCCGGTTCGGGCTTACTTTACACCGTCGGATCTTAATTTAATGCCTGGGTCCCGTTCCGACCGCTACGACATCGATGCCTCTCTCTTCGCCGGAAATGCACGCTGCGTTAAATGGCCGCTGGGGGTGGTCGTTCCAACTGTACGCAATTGATAAGATTTTTTGGTAAAATCACTTAGCCAGGTTCGTAGAATAATTTGAAGGGAAAATTTAGTGAAATGTTAACTTCAGTTGCATGAGAACGAATTTATTGAAAGGATTTAAGATGATTGGTCCATTTGTTTTCTTGTAAATTTACGAAGCTTTTAAATTCATTTTAGGTTTAGAAAAATAACATAATTTTTTGGGTGCAAATAGTTACATAGTTAATAAATATTATGCTAAAAATAAAAAATTCTGAAAACAAATGAATATTATGGTTTGAATGTCGGTTTGTAATTTAGAACAAGAACTACCTTTGCAGGAAACTTCCAAAGGATGAAAAAGGTAGTATTATGAACCTTGTACCTTCTAATCGACCATATTTTATGATCCTGTATTTTACAGAAACCAATTTTAATAATTACTTAGAATTGCCGTTCAATTTTCTTGCCGGAACTTTAAATAGAGACCTAAAAGGATTATACCCATCAAGGTTAAGCCTATAATAAAATATTAAGTAAATGATCGTTTTCCAATGATTGCTTTTAGTTTAAGCAGCATCAGTTATCTCTACGAAATATTTTAATTATTGGATTTTCAATAAAATTCCATTGTTTGTTGTTTCAAATTCTACACTAGAATTTTTCTTCTCCCTTCATCATATGATTCATCTATTTTTTTTAACCGATTTCGAAAAGGAGGAGGTTACTCAATTCGATCAATGTATATATTTTTTTTTTTTTTTAATCCAATACAATCGATCACTATCACATTAGTATCATTATTCCTGTTCCAAGACAAACTATATTAATGTGTACCAGTTCCTTTTCACCTTTGTAAACTTCATGGACAAAGGTGTACCTTACAAAAGGCTGCGCATGTTCATCGAGCAAGAAATCGTTGAAGATGAAACATAATTTCTCATGACAGATGGAACACCCTTACCACTTGTCTGTTACCACCTTTCTTCTTCACGATCCACCAAAAATCGTAATTTAGATTGATATCCGCGTTTCAGTCAATTTACAAGCCTATTTAATGGGTTCTAGAACCGCGATGGATTATGATCGATCACCACAAGCATAGTATACTATTATTTCTGAAATTCTTGCCGAGCCCCTCGTTAATTCGAAGGGTTTATGGTGGGTCGTAACACACTCGTAATCGTTGGACTTTTGTGCCTCAAAAATGGGCATTCTTCGGACAAACGTAGTGGTACTTTTTATGTTTTGAAATGAAATTGATCAGAAGATGCTTAGAGCAATAAAGCTCTCGATAAATTTGGGAAAAAAAGTGAAAAACATAATGAGTTATTTTCGTATAGCCTTCTTGATAAGTTGCAGCTGCAACGTGTACACTGTCAATCGATGATAAATCGATGACCACATAATTTTCAAGCATGTATAGCATCATGTTGGACCATGTCTTTGGATATGAACGCAAGCCATACCATTGCTTTTCTCAGAAATAAGATTAAAATTCTTGAGAAAACTGATGTTCTGTAAATTTAAGTGGTAATCATGAGCCTTTGATAAAGTAAAATTTTTCTCTAAGCTAATCACGAAGGTAAATGTTTCTTTTCTATTACATTGACTTCTAGATTCTTGGATAATTTTATGGAAATTTTAAAATGTTCTGTAAATTGTAATCCAACATTCTCATCGTAAATATTATCTGAACACATAAGATGTATTCATGCTGTCATAAGAGTGTAATTACTTAATCGGGTAAAGAAAATCAAATAACATTCCAACAATTCTCCCTTTCACGCGTTGTAGTTTTGCAATACTTCAATCACGTTCATCAATCTCTTCATTCGATTGGAAACATCGATTACACATGAAATCGTCTGGTCAGTTTCGATTCTTTTGTATATTCTCATTCATTCATTCAATCGTTGCTATAAACTGCATTACAAATTCCGGTAATTATTCTGTACAAATTTTGTTTTTTTTCCACACTTCCGTTCACCTTTTTGAAAAACAATTAAATTTAAATAACGTTACAACGAACGGCGTTGTCGGACAGTCGATTTACTTGCTGGCAACCAGAAACCAGTAAACAGAAGGCTTGTAACGGTGGACGAAACTTCTGGTGCATCCCAGGAATAATTAAATTCGTGCAACTTGATTACGTCAAAAAAAAAAAAAAGAATTTCATTTCACCGCCACGTGTAATTAGAGTCGATCATTGAATGATCGGCGTTATTGCATGAGCCAGCACGAAATTACTGCGACAGTATTTCATCGCCGTGGCGGCTAACTGTCAAAAGCGATGATAATTATCTCTCTTAATAATTTAATAGCCGCACCGTAATTTGTGCAAGTTTCTTGAGCCGGTTTCAAGCGTTCACCAATGAAAAAAAAAGTATGAAAGACGCATGGTTACTTCTGTTTTGACCTTATCTTACAATTAGCCATGATAGAGTAGCGAATTTTATACGTTCTGGTAAATGATAGAAAGATTTAGGTGTATTCTTGATGCAACGTGTACGATACCGTGTACTATTTTTATATTTTGATGCACATCGTTTGGGATGACGAACACGCGAGTATGAGGTGAATCCCGGATGAGTGGTTTGGAAATAGAATTCAGTTGAACTTGACAATATCTTTTTTGTAAAAATATATATTAGTGTATACGTGAACCGTATTTACTAATACGTATAATTTGATGATTTTCCATAAATTGTCGTTTATGGATATTACAAATAGAGTTTACGTAATTGGAAAATTTTCAAATCAAAATTGTGCACATTATTTCAGTCTTCCTTGTTTGCCCCAAGTAGTAAATTCGATTGATTGAACGAGCACGCGTTTACTTCTAAACCGTTCGTTGTACCTAATTTAAAAAAGTGCCTTAATGACGCGTTACAAATTCGCGTTTGTTGAAAATAGTTGGATTCCATGGCGGCATGTTAAAAATGAGAGTGTACTAATGCACAGGTGGCCATGATGGAACACGTGTAAACGTCAAAGGGATGCGCCCGTGAAGAGCGTAACTCAGCGCACGATTTTCAAGGGGCTGTCTGAATTGATCGTAGTACACAGCAACACTGGGCCGTGCATCAAATTTCATTGCACGGTTATGGAAGTTTGACAAGGTGTGACGGGCTTCCAGCACGTGTCGACACGATGCTGTGGCTTCACCATCGCGGACCGAGACGGATTCTTCTCTATATGCAACCCCTTATTCGATCTTGATGCATCTTCACGGTGAACATTCAATTTTATTCTCTATTCAAGTTCGCAATCGATGATTAACTGACGAACAATCGAAAACTATAAAACAACATAAAAACCTTGACAAGTCCGATTAACTTTCCATCACTTTATTTCAACTTCAATTAATAAAATCGTGAAACAACCTTCTCTCGAAGCGAGGTTAAACTTTACAATACTCTATACACGAAACACCATGCGTATCGAATGCATGGAACAAAAGCAAATGTCATGAAAAACAATGGCATTATTTAACCATGAAACATTGAAAGAGCCCATTAGCCTTGATGTTCCGTCACCGTACAGAGTGGAAAAAGGCTTATCGGAGGTAACCCCGTAGGGAGACATTGAATTTTTACAAGAACCTTTAGAGGATAGGTCGTTTACCCTTATCCTTAGGCTCGATCTGCCATTGAAGTGCGAGAACGATTTAGCCTGCGACGAAACTAAATCTCGATCGAGGTGGTCCCTTCGTTTCTGGATCCCTTCTTCGTGATCACCTTCGCTTCAGTGAACCCTGTTGCGTGCCGGCGCGGCGGTCGCTCTCTTTTCCTACTGTCCACCTTCTCGTGCAACTTCTTTCGAAAAGGGCCTCGCCTCGCCTTGCCTTTGACTTTGCTTTTGTCAGTCGGCGTCGACCGACAACACAGAAAGCTACTTTACGTAACGGCCAGACCCCTTTCGTATCGAAGCTAAACCTACGCGATTAACCGACTAGAAGGAAACTCGACGATAAAGTTGCGATCTTAGGGGGTGAATACGTGACACGAACGTAGCAACGGCTCGAAAGTATCACTTCCTGAATGCAAATTAACGAGTTGTAATTTTAAAATGGAATCAAAATGGTTAAGAAGAAAAGATCTTACCTTGTTTGTCGTGGTCCCTGGATCTGCCCAAGAATCAAAAGGGCTATCGCGGTTGCCGCGATGTCACCACGACGCATCTCTTACATCACAATCCCCTTGTTTATTTAATTCATAAAACGGATGCACACGGGACGAGTTTTACGTTTCCGTAGTCAGACAACCGGATGCACGTCGGACGATTGTCGTTTCACTGGCACGACACGCGTTTCACGGTCCTCTGACACGGCATTGCACGATTTTTCACGTGAATCTTTCTCATTGTCGAACACAAATTGCTTCCAACTTCAATATTTAAGAAACATTCATTCGTATCAAGGTTTCATTGCACCAACTTCAATTCTTCTTCAAATATAAGGAAATTCTTAAAGAATTTATTGTTCAATATACAATCATTTTCTTTTTACATTTCTTTCAAATATGTAAATTTTCGCACTTTTCTTTACAAACACTGAGTACTTTGCGAATTCAATTTATTTTTTGTCTCATTTTCCATCGGTTCAAACTATAATTCTGTTTTAAGCACCGAGATATTAATACAAAATTATTTTTTTTCAGAGTTCCGGATAAAGCTGCACAGTGAATTTTAGCACGAATCACAGGAACTGCAAGCAACGAGAAGCCCCGTCAATGTAAGTATGTGACATCTTCCGTTTCCGATCCGTCGTAACAAAGCCGCACGCTCCGAATAAAAGGTGAACAAACGAAATAACACGTCGAACATTTAGAAATTGTAGTGTTTGCACGGCTTAACTGGTCCGGCGAGTGTTTGTAATCGCCAAATACTCGAGACTCGTTCCGTTTAACGGTGACTAAGCGCCGAAGAAGCGTTCACCAATGGACCTGTCCGCACTCTGGCATCTCCTCGTATGCCAACAAAAATTTGTCATCTTACGAGGTAACAATGTTACTTTCCATAAGAGCGAAGTTGAAATTCATTATTGAAAGCTTCAAAGGATTCGCAAAGACGAATCTCCGTAACGATCAGCTTATCACAGGAGAGCAACGAATCGTTATCAAACGGATACTAATTAAAAAGTACGACTAATCAGTTTAATTATTGACACCTTTATGCGCATTTTACGGCGAAGCTTTCTGGCTGATCAAAGATATCCTGCTCACGCGACGTATTATCAGGAAAGATTCGTTCACGCGAGGATATTCTATTGTTCTGGTGCGACGGGGGCTGGTAACGATTTCGTGGCGAGGATTTATCGATCGTCTCATCATCGCCGCGTTAAATGTCTTTGCCGATCGCTGCGTCAAGATCGTTGGATCGCGAGGAGAGCGTGATCGATCGTTCGTTCACGATCGCGAGAATCTTCGTTTCGCTGGCCACGTTCTGTTTCTCTTTCCATCGGTACCAACACCTTAACGAACGAGGAATTCCTTTTGTACCCCTGCCGTGCTACCGGTTCTTATTGTCCCACACCTCGCTTTTATTCTTCCCTTTTGTCAAGGTTTTTTCGATGTTGTAGCCGGTCGCGCTTTCATACGCGTCGTTTTATTTCAGCAAGGAAATTTGTATGCCAGCTGGTCCCAGCATGAATGGCGACAGGACACTTTTAAACTCACCACTCGATGCACTGCTTCATGCTCGATCCGACGAGTATAACAGCATCGTTCACCTGCCAGACTTGCCGACTCGTGTTCATCCCGTTCAGATCATTATCGGCATTGCAATTAAAATTTTATGATCGATTATTCCTGTCTTTCGGATAGACACTTGGATGGGACAAGGTAGACACTTGGAGGTAGACACTTGCCAAGAACGACACCCTCGAAAGTCACCTTCCTTCCACCTCGATAACACCAAAAAATTTTTCTCAAAGATCAAGTATCAGATTGGTTGACGAAGAAGTTTCGATAGAGAAACCGCGATCGAATCGATGCAGAGGGTAACTGTGCAAGGTGTGCGCTGTATAACCCGGTGTTCAAGGCAACCACCACCCATCAACCGCGAGTACTCGCAGCAGCGACACGCGGAGTGACAAGCACACCACCACCACCAACTATGACCACCACCACCACCAGCACCACTACCACCGGTAACACCAGCACCAGTAGCAACAGCAGCGTCAGACGGGACACGGTGAAGAGTAAAAGGTAGGAGAAGACTGGCAGCCTCGAGGGGTTAACCGGCATGGGGAGTTGAACGGGAACACCTCGTGCACATGGGAATTTGAACGAGCGGGCAGAAAGTAAAGCGCGTTCGGTCGAGAGGAGGGCCCGCGATGGACTGGCCTCGCCAACCCAAGTCCTCCTACCTTTGGGATCAGGTCCCAGCCTCTACGATCTTACCTCTACGATCCTACCTCGTCTCTCTCGTTCTCTTTTCAACTCTTTTTCTTTCTTTATTCCTCATCGGCTCTGTATAATATTCTTCCTCTCTCTTTCGTGCTTCTTCATCTTCTTCATTCTCTACTTTCGTCCTTCTACCACGTCTTTCTCTTACTTTCCAAGCTTTCCTATGTTCTTGTTCATTCTACCGGTGTGTACCATCGAGTTGCTTCAGTTTCACAATTACCTGTTGTCCGGTACTCGAGCTTCGCTACTTCCACCTCTCTATATTCCCCTATCTTAGATTGCTTTCAATTTTTCGTGCTTTCATATCGATCGAACGGCGAATACCCATCTTTAAGGTGTTGTACTTTCATCCTGTTTCCTGGTGTCGTCTTTCTTTTGCGGTTTTAGATCTTCAGCGTATAGGAAAGTCGTGCGAACAACGTGTCTCGTGAAGCTTCGGTAGCGAACCATGATTGCTGCCGCTTCGTTTTAAATTACCTATTAGCTGTTTATTATTTAGTTTGGGAACGATTGAAATTATTTTGCAGACTTCGCGTAATAATTAATTTAAATGAATAATCACGCCTGATTAAAATGTCTGATGTTTCTAAGAAATTATTTCGCGCTTATTTCTTCAAATATTCACAATGAGATTTCGTTGAGAATTTCATAGAACTGGTTGAAAATGATACAAAACGTGTGGTTTGGGTAGCGGAACAATAGCGACTCGTGAACAATTCGATTTCACAGTCTCACGTTATTCAGATAGGAAACAAATACAATGTCGAATGAATCAGTAGTCTCGCATTGAAATTACGCGGTGTTTCTACCTGGCTTCCATTTATCTGTACGCACGTCTGCGTTTACATCTAGCGTAAAATGCAAATATATAGCGTTCCGCTTTAGATCGCCTATCGGCCATTTATTACTTATTTTGCCTCGCTCTGTCCAATACGACATGCCGGAACTTATGGATCTTAACGGGTGTTTGTATTCATGCAATGAATTCATAACTGGATACCTTTTTCGCGTTTGTTCATTTATTATTCTTAGAAAGCAAAAATTGTTCATATAGGCAGTTGACACTTCGTAACAGTGACAGCCTGATAGATTCTGATATCTTCGCAACTGCCAGTTGAAATTTATTTCTTGTATTCCATACCAGGAGAAGCACAATCGACGGATTATGTCGCCTTGTACGTATCGTTCACGGCTCATTTTTTCATCTGGTACACGCTCGAATTTACTCGCGTCGTTCCGTTGTGCAACAGTCAGAATGAGCGATACGTACGCTCGCGTGAATTTTCGATCCTATCGGCTGTTGGTCGTGATTCATTTCGTGGGTGGATCGGTCGATCTATCTACTCGTTCGACTTGATGTACGAGGGGTGTGCCTCGACTCGATCCTGGACAGTAAATGTCCACGTAGCTGAAAATGTTGAAGCTGTTCGTTGGAACGAAGATCTTTGCGATCGGGTTCCTTCTGGATCTCGAACAGAGATCGTTCAAATAATCTCGTCTATCTGGACACGTCATATGTTTATGTGAAAAAGGGGCGAGTAATTGAAGGAGGTTCTTTAAAGCTGTCAAATTGAATTTAAGTATGATGAAAACGAAATTGAAATTCAATAGGATCGAAACGTAAGTTTATAAATTTAACAACTATTTTAGAATTGCAATTTAGGCAATTTTTAAGTTAGTGTTTTAATGGTAAACGTCGAAACTATTCCTACATATTTTCTATTTCTTATTCTAAATTTCTAGAAACGGAACATTTACCTGAAATGTCTGATCATAAAAACACGTAACTACTGAAAATAAAAGAACTAAGATACTATCCCTTCTCTCAATAAAATCTGCAATTTCTTACTGATGAACTCTCTGAGTTAATAAAACATTCAATTTCTTCATCGTAAATGCTTTCTTCGTTTAATAGAAAAACGATTCGTGTGAACTGTAAAACACACTTGTACTACTGAGATAGTGATCGCATTGCAATTTTAAAGGTGTTATCAAAGATCCGCTGATAATTAAACGAACCAGGATGAAAAGTATTTCGTAAATATAATAAGTAACGAATTTTATGAATAGCTGTGCGCGTCGATCAGTTGCGAAAAAAAGCTGAGATTTTATTACCACTCGTTAAACGTATCGGCGAATTCAATCAAATTACGTTTTGGAGCGTAAACCTTCTTCATCGATCGTTCAAATCGTTAGATCCTGTTTTCTTCTGGGTGATCGGTTTCAACCCCCTTCTCCCGATACATTTACATTAATTAATAATAATTACTTCATTTTTAATAGAAAAAGGGACATTTTTATATTTTATAGTCAGGAAAGACCGGTGATCGTTCGAAAGGCATTTGAAATTAGTAAGTTGTGGTGTTGGCAATTTTCTGGCTTTTATAGTAGCATGACATGCGAAACACGAAGGAACATACTCGTTAATTTTATTCAAAGGACGGATATCATCGGTTCCCTTCGATTTTTCGAGGAAACAAGCGTGCCGTGCCACAACCAACAGGGCTCCTTTAGCGAATTTCATTAATTATATATCATTATGCCCTGTAATTGCGCGCCATATGTTTTCGATTTTAAGGGGTCCCGTGTACGCGAACACGCGCACGCTCCAGGAAACTACGCGAACGATCAACACTGCTATCATTATCGCTCGAAATTCTGTGAATCGAAAAAATTATTACATCTGAAAACAAAGCTGTTTTTCGAACGAATAGAAAATTCGAATGATATCGTAGTTGGGATCAGTTTTCGAACGAAATGGATATTTTTGTACCGATGATGGGACACGAGAAAAGAAATAAAAATAGAATTTTATCCGGTTGATTCATGAGTTCGATCGTTGATACAATAGAGATCAAATATCTACGGTGGCAGACGACACGATCAGTGGTATTCTATCATTTTATTGGAATGACTCGAACAAACGACAGGAATCATGTCTGGCTGCACAGCCTGTCGCATCGTACACTCGACTGACTTATACAGGATATCCCGTGATGGTCAACAGTCTAGAATCAAATAAGTAATCCTGCGTGAAGGGAATAAATTTTACTTTTACAGAAAAAAAAAGAAAGAAAGGAGAAGGATTGAACTCTTCGAGCAAAGCAACATCGTCTAAATGTTATGGTTTCTAATGATAAGAGATCTATTATAAATCTAAACGAACCGGAAGTAACATTATGCAACGTCTCGACTGTTTACACAAAACGAGAGAAGCTGATCTCACGTATAATGTGTGCTTATTGTACGTTTTTTCCTTTTTTATAATCACGTCATCGCCTTGCTTCTCCTCTGTATTATCTTTCCTTTTCTATTTCTTCATCCCGTCGTTAAAATGTTTATAGTTCACCGTGAATTTTGAGAGCGCAGATTTCACACGGCAACGCTTTAATGGGTCGTCATTAGCTTTGATATCGCGTTATTTATAAGGCAACCCCTGCGGCCAGTGCTTTATGGACAGCGTAATAATGCTGTCACGGGTGTAAACGACCCACCGGGGTCCATTCAGAAAAATTTCATTCGTGTCAGTCCATTGTGTATCGACCATTGAAGGTGTACCGTGACGGCTGAGTAACACTTGGAGGTGTTAATTTGTTCTGTCAAGTCTTACAAGAATTTAGAAGATTTAGAAAGGGAAGTCGATGATAGTTTAGCGCAGGTGTCGGAAGTAATTAACGAATTGTAACGTGGTAGAATATTGGGGATCACTTAGAAGTTTTGAAATTCTTGAAATTCTCGAAATATTAGCGATTCTTTAAAACGAAAAGCTTGCTACAATTCAAAACTTGCAGGTATCCTGAGCGTTTACGATGTCAAATCATCGGGTTCTTCCCCTTAAAAGTTATTTAACTGTCTCTAATTTCGCTTTCACGACACCTAAGACCCGAAGCTCTTATATCGAGTTTTTTACGATCACGATAGGCTCATCCAATCGTTAAAATTCTCTCAAAGATAAAGCACGGTCTCATCCTGGAGCATACTTCTAAATATGAGTTTGTGCAAAATATTTAATACGGGCTCGTTATACGGGACAATCTAATGATTCGAGAGATAAGAGTTTACCACGTCGCGATGTTCATTGTTCTCCATGAAATACAACCGGAAACCGATGTTCAGCGAATGCTAAGCGGATATGACAGTGCCTTTATTCCGGCACGCGTGGGGTAAAGCGAGCAAAGCGAATGATTTAATCGAGGAAAACAAAATAAAATCATTCCTTTTTTGGCATTGTTTATTCAAAACATTATTTGGCATTTTAGCTTATAATACTGACGTCTTACTGGTATGACACATTAGCAAAAATAATTTTTAAAATACCAAATAAATAGTACGTTAAACTTCTTCCTTTATTAGAATATTCCTAATTAATTTTAATCTTTGGAAAACGAACGTACAGAGAACGCTGAAATAATGTTTTGCAAATTTTATTGCTCTAATTTTCTTTACCTTGGTTATTTTCATTCCGTGTTTATCAACTTTATACCGATGGTAAGCAATGGTGGTAAGCAATGGTTACGTAAGATTTGTATTTGTAGTCATAAAACATGCATACAGATTAATTGTTGAATAGCTGTTTGTTTTGCATGTATGCACAGATTAATCAATAGAATTTTTACAATTTCTTTTAAATTCCATTTCAATGTCCCAATGAGAATCAGCTTGCTAAAAAAACTAAAACAAAAAAAAAGAAAAGAGAAAAAAAGAGACACCCTTTGAACCTAGAATGAACTCATAATTCAAAAAACTAGCGTGTTCAATTTCCTGCTGTAGTATTTCTCGCGTCCATCAAAAAAAAAAAA